CACTAGCCACTATCACCGGTAACTAGAGCTTCGTTAGCAACGATAGCCACTATATTTCTGTCGCCAGAGCTCTAGCCTTTGGCTGGAACACCGTCGTCGATGATGGTGATGAAGAATATTATAGAGATTAATTTCTCTAAAAGTGGCCAAGGTGGGTGTAGAACCCAAGACCCCTTGGTTCACCAAAAGGTTTTAAACTACCAAGCCACTCAACCCATTCAATCATATGTCAGCCATTTTTCAAAGCTTTAGTTTGATGAATACTGATCAGACTAGAGGTTTGAAAAATCTTATACAATTAAAGCCTACTATATTTTAACAAGTACACTTAATACTGATAAGGGAGACCCGACTGTCATTACTTTCATTATCTAACAAGCTCAATTTTTTATGTAAATTATATATTCATTTAACAAGTGACAATAGATAATTAACAAGTATTGTTGAGAAATTAACAAGTAAAGTTATGCAATTAATAAGTAATTTGGTTGCTTTTTCGAAACAACAGTTAAAATAAGTCTTGTTATGGTATTAACAAGTCAAGTTAGGCAATTAACAAATATTATTGCGTAATTAACAAGTAAAATTACATGATTAACAAGTAATGCATTTCAGTTGAAAGAGTCATGGATTTGACAAGTAAAGTCAAGTAATTAACAAGTTCTATTAAGGTATTAATAACGACAGTTACGTGATTAATAAGTAATGTAGCTCTGTTGTGAGAGTCACTGACTTAACAAGGAAAGTTAAGTAATTGACAAGTTTTGTTAAGGTATTAACAAATATAGTTACGTGATTAACAAGCAAGTAATTTATTTCTATTGTAGGAGTCGTAGGGTTAATAAGGAAAGTTAAGTAATTAATAAATTCTTTTAAGGTATTAACAAGTAAAGTTGTGCGATTAATGAGTAACATAATAATCAAGTAGTTTGAAAAAAAAGTTTATTATATATATATATTTATAATTTTATGCATTATATAATTGAAGGGTTGAGTAGCTTGGTGGTCTAAAACTTTTTGGTGAACCAAAGGGTCTTAGATTCTACACCTACCCAACCTTTGGAGAAATTAATTCTCCATAATTCTTTAGCCATGCCAATGGTAGTCCAACTGGTGGTTGAAGCTTTGGCAAAGGTGGTCTAGTCGGAGCTTTGGTGATGGAAGTCTAGTGGCTGTCGTCGCCGGCAAAGCTTCAGTCACCGACGACGATGGTTGGTGGTTTTTTTTTTTATATATATATATATATATTTGAACTGAGTGTATTTTGATCTTTTTCACTTTCAATTTATTTTCATTTCAGTCCCATAGAATTGAACTAATATTTTAGAATTTTTTGGGAGCCATTTGAAGATAAGTTGCTTCTACGGTCCTTAAATAAAATTCTCCCTAATATATTTGTTCTATAGATAAAAAAAATCTCTAATTAATTTTGTGAATGAGTTATATTTTAAATATTTAAAAATTTTTATTCATAATTTATGAGAATTATATTTTTCATTATCATTGGGCCTATTTATCCTTGTAAATTTGTATTGAGCTGACAAATTCAATTAAAAAAAAAAAGAATGAAGAGGAAAAGCGGATCCAGTGATCCGATCCGTCACCCCGACCCAGGTTGTACCCTAAACGTCCTCCTTGCGCTCGCTCTGCTATGTCCGCACCACTCTACTTGGCGACCCAAGCCTGAAAGAGAGGTCTGTGTTACACTGACAAGACCTCGAAAACGTAGTTGGCGGATAACAGAATAACCTCGGGAGAAGCTTCGACGTATGGCTCAGAAGCCTACAGATGAAGCAGCCTTCGGTGTTGCCATGCCTGGTCGCACCTCCATTCCCTCCGGCGAAGACTCTGTTTGGGCCGATGTGTCGCCCCTCCTTCAAGCTGCTTGCCAAGGTCGCCCCCCCCCCCCGTTTTCTTGTTGCCCATTAGTCTTATCGACTGGTTCTTCACTTCCTGCTTGAACAAGGAAACCAGAATTGGCTACGGATGCCCTGGGTTTTGGCGGAAAAATCTAGTCAAATTAAGTCGACGTAGTCGGATCAATTAATTCAAGGGTTCTTGTGATAACTAGCGTGAGTTACATGAGAGGGATGGATTCTGTAAATTGGCTACACTGTTTGATGCGGGTTGATGGAATTTTTATATTATATGTAAATTCTAAAACTCGTTAACTTTATTAGTCTTTTATGTGATACTGATCAACAAAAATGCGAAATATGCAATGATGAATTTACAATTTGATCATACAAAAAATAATTTTTTCTTTTCTTGGGTAGTGTCCCATTGTCTCATTTCATGTGCCTGACTTGTAAACTAACACCATAAAGGTTTCATTTTTGTCTCCCTGTCTAAAGGCGAGACATAGTTTATTTAACAATGATGTCTTGGTTTTTTAATGAGTGAATAAACTTTCACCCTCTCGTTCCCTCTTATTATGTTATTTAAATTCCTCTCATTATATTATGTTACTTTTGAATAATTTTTCCTGCTTAGATTACCGAACTAGAATGGTCGCCTTACTCTGAGGCCATTTTAGCTTTCTTCTTTTTGAACTTTATTTCATGTAGTTGGCTACAGATCTTCAGGAGGGAGAGCTGATTCGTGGAGATAATTTCAATCTGTTTGCTGCAATGTCAGCGTTAGAGGTATTCGTACATTTTGCTAACTGCACTATCGGTGGGACTCTAATAACTCTACTAAGCCCCCTTTTTATGACTACAGGATGATACTGGTTTCTTATATTAATTAGTATGAAAGTGAATAATTTGATTTTCCTACTTGGAAAAGAAAATAATGAGCATGCCCTTGCAACATAAATAATACACTAGAGACATGCAGAAAATTCGTTCAATATTATCCTCGTTGGTGGTTATTTAGCACTAATCATGCATACAATTGCCATGTTTGACAGATAATGGACCCAAAGATGGATTCAGGCATTGTTTGTCGATATTACTCTCTTGAGGAAGCCATTGAGAATGGTGCTGCTCCAGTTCCTCTAAGTGTTGATAAAACAACTGATATACGATGTACAATTGACATTATGGACCATCTTCTAGCATGTGAGGTAATTTAACTTTCATACCAATGCCTTCTATATGATAACTAATATATTATGCATAGCTGGTTTATGTGGAAGTGGAACTATTTCCTAGGTTTGAAATGTATCTATCTCTCCATTAAGAGTACAGAAAAACTCACATATGCATGCTATCATGCATGGCTGCATGAGTGTGATATTAATTAGGTGCTCTGTATAAATGCTCTTTCTTGACCTCCTGGTCATATAACGATATTTGCATTAATTTAGTGCATAAAGCATATAAATAATGTACTCTTTATCCAGGAGACTTCTAATTTAAGAATTCTTGTGAAGTATTTGTTGTATTATAAAGCTATTTTTTTTTTTTTAAATAGGGGAGCTAAAATTTTATCGATACAATTTGTACAAGCGACATGCAATACAGTGTGCATTTGTTGTCTCCTTTCATGGTACATACATCTTGCTTAAGCTTTCCTTCTCATTGTCATAGTTATTATTTCGCCTGGCAGGCAACATGGCACAAGGGTCATTCACTGGCACAAACCGTTTATTCTTGCCTCTATCTCCTACAGCCTGACAGAACATCATCACATGCCCTTTTGCACTCGTACTGTAGAATCATACGGGCAACCTGCAAAGCAGTTCTTTCTGTTGTCTCAGATGCGCGCACACATGAAGTAAAGTACTCCAACAGATCTTTTTATTCTCTTATACATTATTGAGTGCTGTTTGATTTTCTGTCCTTAATTTTAGAAATAATTGTAATTATTTGGATGAAAATGTGTTTTTTGAAGCATATGATAATGCATTATCGGGTTGCCATTAACTAAAGGACATCACAAGAAACAAGAGTAAATTATTTGGATATCACTCCATGGATTAAATTTGTTTATGCATTAGGAATGTTGTGGATTTACAATGCATGTGGCTTTCCTTTATCAAAAACATAGTTGCTTATGGGTCTATCTGTGTGTCCTGATGTCTTCTCAGCATATTTGTCATATTTCTTGTATTCAGATTGATATATGGCTGACATATGTTACTATTTGTTTATCTCCATTATTCCTTTCGTTAAAAAGTTTGTGCTCATGCAGAGAATCTCTCTTTCTCTCAATAAATAAAAAAATGGTGATATTTGTCTGTTTCAGGAAGAGGATCTATTTACTATGGCATATGGCCTTCCTTTGAGTGTGGATGGAGATGATAAGTGTTTAGCAATGCTAAATGCTGTTGAGGAAACAATATCACGCCAGCTGCGTGCATGTAAATCATCATCTAAACGAAGAGTATTAGAAGGTAGTTTCTTGTTGAAACTTGTAATTATGTTCTGTTTTGTCCGATATTGTACAATTTTTTTGGAAGTTCAAGGTATCTTTGCAGAAATGGATAATCGTGAAGTTTTGTAGCAATGTTCTATGTTCTTAATAAATATGTTCTGGTAAACTCTCCTTGAAGGTTGATAATTTTCACAAAATTAAGTGTTGCCTATGCTTGTTGTATCAGGCCTCATAAGTTACCTCCATATAGTTGCCTCATTCTAAATATAAAAAAGAAGAAAGAACTCCATCTCTTCTTGTTAACATGGTCAGTGTTGTTAAAGGTGCTCGCCTCAGCACCTAAGGTGCAAAGGTGAGGCGCTAAACATGGCCATTGCCTCTTAGAGAGGCAATGGGTTTGGTCAGGCACTCGTCTAAGAGCGCGTTGTGCGCTTTGCATGGCCAAAAGGCGCTCGCCTGATAGCGCCTTGAAGTAGTAGAGAAGAGACGATCAGTAGAGAAGAGAAGATAGAGATCGATAGGGACTGGGTATTGGAGAAGGGAAGATGACAACTGGGACTGTGTATTGCAAAAACAGAAAACGAGGAAGGAGGACAACACTGGTTGGGAATAGAAGAGAAGACGATTCATCCACTGATTGGGTATTGCGGGACCGACTAGGCATTGCAATCATGAGTCACGATTTTTATAAAAATGGAAGAAGATTCATCCATGGCCTCATGACTCGTGCGTGACTGGGCAGTGGGTATTTCAATATTTTATATCATATTTATTATAGAAAGTTATTATATGATACAAATTATATGATGTAAAAAATAAGGAAAATTATATCATATAAGAAAATAGGAAAGATTTAAATTTTAAATAAGAGAAAACAATTACAGAATAGAAAAGATTAATTTATTGTAAGAAATTATTTTTGATTGAATTTTTAATATGACAAGAGAACACAATTTTATATGCAGGTTTAAATAAATTTATATTTATCATTTTATCTATGGTTAGTTGGCTATATATGTTGCATTTTTACATGGTAGTGCCTTGCTTCATTCAGGCGTGCGCCTTTCTAGCGCCTTGCGCCTAGGGCATTTTACAGGCTTTGCACCTTGAGTGTGTCTTTCGCCTTTAACAATACTGAACATGGTACAAGAGCTGGTTATAGAGAAAAGAGCTAGGTTAGAGAGATAGATAAACTCTTTCAGAGTCTTTATGGGCTGGAGTTTTGATCACATCCATGGAAAAGTTCACTTCTTCCCTTCCAATCAAAATATATATCATCTTCAACTGATTCAAATGCTTCCATCCTCTAGAAGCATTATCTGCTACTGGACATATTCATAGTCTCTTCACTTTTACTTCTATTTGACCCTAATGACTCACAGACCACCACAAAAATTGTAGACCAGCATCACCCAGTTGATCAGACCTCCATAGAACTTCCACATGTCGCCTCAATCTATATCCCTGAAACTTTGCAGTGTTCTCCATGCATCAGCGCATGTAGCTATATCTCCTGCCACCATTGTATAGGAGTGGTTGTTAGTCTTGCGTGGAGCTATATCTCCTGCCACCATTGTCTAGGAGTGGTTTTCAGTCTCTCTTCTGTCTATCTTGGTTCTTCACCCTCCTTAGGTTGGCCATATTGTGTGTTTGACACTTTCATCCACTATTTATTCCATTCTCAGAATAGTCCATCAGAGAGAGAAAATAACATTGGGGATGAAGTTGGGGTGTGTTAAAATGTGGAAGAAGTTTCCAATAATCCAAGGTTTGTTGCCCAGAATAAAAAGTTTAGTATGATTCATGGATGATGTTCCTTTACAAACGTTGTGTCGTTTGGTGGCCTTGCAATGGTTCTTGGCTGTTATTGGTTCTCTCTTTGAAACTAGTTGGAAGTGTTTGGTTGCACATCTCAGTGAGTTTCCGCGGGTATGTTTGGGAATTTTCTTTCCCCATGAAAATGTTTGTTCATGTCTGGATTTTCTTTCATATTACTTGAGAGAATGATTGAACAAGTACAAAATTCAGGGCAAAAGAAGCCAAAAGAAAGGAAAAAAGAAAAAGCAAAGGTACTTCAGCTTAGGAGAAATGTATTAGTCACGTACTGCTGCATCATTTTGGTGTCAATCTACTTGTTATGACATTTTATGCCTCATCTATAGGTACATGGGCATGTGGAGTAGTATTCTGCTGTCCTGGAAAATAGCTTTATCTCATATAATCTTCTACTTCGTTTTGGAGGTTTTTTATGTTCTAAGAGATCACAGGATGTTGCAAAGTTGCTTGCTGTGAGATATTTACAAACTTCCTTTGAGAAGGCCACATTCTCCAGTGTCCAGTTAGCTTTAACCTTCATTGCCACTAGGCTATTCTCTGTGGTCTTTGTTGAAACTAAAATGTATTTATTTTAACTTGCCGTTGAAGACATTCATTAGATGTGACCTTCATTTATTGCTAGGCTTTTTTATTTCTATAGTGTTCACTGCTACCAGGACACAATCCTTTCTGTTATGACCATAAATGTCATGTTTCCTTTGGTAATCAACTTGTAGACATACTTATCAAAGGATTGGCCATTATCATCTTTCAGAACTTAATCTTTGCGCTTTGCATGGAGGATGTCCATTCACTAGCTTGACTGGGGTGTTGTAAGTATTAGAAGTGTTGGGATTGTAAATAATGTAATGTTAGTTGTTTCAATAGTCTTTTAAATCCTTTATTGTTATTTTGTGTTCCAGAGGAGCCTTTCTTATCTATAAATACATGCTGATATATTATTCCTGAGTTTATTCCCAGAATGCCTATTCTATTTTCTCTCTCTTTGCTCTGAGGAATTGTTCTGTTTATAAATTGATGGAATGGAGAAGTTCCTCTCCTGCAATTAATTGATTCTTCTATTGTTGCTTCCTTTTAAGTAGATGCACATTATATTAAATTTATTCTTGTAATTGATTCGTGAGCTATTCAGTTGCAGATATAGAGCCTCTTCAAAGTAATCCTGATCTAGAAGAAGGGTACTGCAAAGCACTGTTATGCCGATTACGTTTTCGTAAGGTCTTATCCTATGTATATTCTTTTGTCCATGCAGATTATATAAAACTACATTCTTGTTTTCTTTGTGGTGACTTGTTAAAACATCGGCTGTAGTTGTCCTTATGCTCACATAATTTTTGCGATCCATTTGGTCAATCAGCACTCATCAAAGATGAGGATGGCATAATGCTCATATATAAACTGTGTTGTTTACTTCTGTCTTGAGAATGTGGTTATAGACCATAGCTATTTCATACTTGAATGATATTATTTGTTTATTTTCTATCTTTTTCGTTGACCTTCAACCTTGTTGCCAATAAATCAAGCTTTATTTGACTGAAATTTCCACAACTCTTATTTTCTTTCAGCATTTGTACCATCTTTTGATGTCTATCAGACGGCCGCAAGGGAGAGGTCTGGAGTTGGCAAGAAAACACATAGTTTCATGCATTTCAGAGCTTGATTGCATTCTAAAATCTTCAGAGTTTCTCAAAGCTAGTGCTCAGGGAGTCTGTGAACAAAACATAGAAGAGACAACTGCATCTGGTTGTCAAGCAATTGGATTTGATGCTAGTCTAAATTGCAGATCATCAGCCCCAACTCCTCCCCGATCTATTAAAATTCTCAGTTGGAAAAAGGTGAGTGCTTTCGTGTTACTATCTGGGAAGCATCAATATATGAGAAAGTCATGAATGTTGATGCTTGATGTGTATCTTACATTGATACATCTTGGAAAATCCTGGATTTATATCCTATCTGTAAAAGAAATCAGTGTTTTGTGAAAAGGAATTCAGCTACACCAATAAGAGTTGAGTCTAGTGGAAGAGTTAATTCCTCACAATATAGTGAATCAAGGTTCCCATTGGGAGACCTGTTGTACTGTGCTCGATAGTGCCTCCAATAGGATTGCTTCCAATAGGAGGATACTTGTGGGCAATAAAAACAAAAAAAAGGAATTCAACTACCAATACAGCTGAGATACAGCTCTCATAGCCTCATATGGCTTGGTACTCAGTTGATACCTCTGATTGAATCATTGAAACATAACATTTAGGATATTGAAATTATTCATTTACCAAAACACAACATTATAGTTTGGGTTGAAATTTCTGGCCTTTTCTTGGAAATTTCAAGTTATGTGTTCATCCATATAGACTGGTCCAATTTCCTATTGCTCTTGGTCAAATCATCAAATCACTCTAGCATTGTCTTTAGTTCTGTTTCTATTTTCTTCAGTGAATCCAGTTTTCTTGGGATAAGTGAAATTGCCTCCCATTCACTGAAGACAAGCAGTGATGAAGGACAATTGTCTTGGGACTAAGCACTGTCAAGTCTGTAACACACACACACACACACACACACACACACCATGAAATTACATATTATATTGTGAAACAATTATTTAGTAATAAAACTTTTAGATATTAAAAAAAATATTTATGAACTTAATAAAGTATCTCAACTTGTAAAAATGTTGTACTTATATATATATATTAAAAAAATTGGTATATATAGGTATCTGTACCCTATATGTGCTTCATAGGTTACTATTACTATGTGACTGTCTTTTTTTAATGCTTCCTGTTTCTCTATGCCAGGCTGTTCAGTATTTTGTGAAACTTCTTCAAGATTTAGACATTATATGTTCTTGCTCCTTGGATCCATCATTGGAGGCTGCTTTGCACTTTATGGTTAAATTTCAGAAGTCTCATCCTGATTTGGTTGCTAGATCTCATCTTCAGGTGGATCGGTTAAAGGCTCTTAATTCCTCCTCTAGTTGATTATTGTTTCTTTTCTCATATTCTTATGAGGCATTTATTTTCTTATTTTTGACAGGACATTTGTTTCGAAGTAATATCTATATTTTCCCTGTAGAATATGTATATATATATATATTTTCATCCCTACCTTTTGTGAGATATTCAAGAAGGGAAAGATGTGTTGTCTGTTATGAACATTGAAGTATCCCCTTGTACTTCTTAAAGGATCAAAAAAGGGTATGAAAATGTCTTTCCTGCATTATGATGTGTTTTAGGTGGATTGTTTGCACCCTTGGAGACAGTTAGAATTCAATGGATGTGAATGTGATGCTTTAACAACTTCAATATCATGTTTATTGAACAATACTGTTTTTACCTTGTCAAATGGAATAATGTTTTGAAGTTACCGATCCAAGTTGAAGCTTACATTAACGGGTATTGCTTTAAAGTTGGCTTTTCATGATTAAGATTTTCTGTTCATATGATACTGTTTTTAAAGATAGTGATTAAAAGACGTCTACTCCTTGGAAGAGCCTGATTTTGGGAATCACTATCATCAAAAGCTTCCATAATCAGAATTAAAGACAATTGACTTTTCTTGGTTAAGCAACACAGTTCATGCAAATACTATTTCTACAATAAATAGACAAGTAGCTTAGAAAACCCTGATATGGGATGCTTGAGATACTAAGGTATCTCAGTTTTTGTGCTTGTGGTTGCATGTTGATGTAATCTTCATTACTTCATTATGCATAGGCTGGTAAAGATACGGATCAGAAGTTGTGCATGTTACAATGATTTCACTTATCACTCTTGTTTTGATCTTTGGTCTGTTCTTTATGCTTGAATGATTAACTTTTCATCAGCTTCTTCTGGTCCAAGATGGGAAGCTCTACGGACGGATTCCCATGTTTGCTCTGATCACTAGAGCTGCTGGATTACCTGAAGTCACCAAGGATCATGACATTCAAAAGAATGAATTCTTGGTACAGCTTGGCCAGGTAGTGGAATCATAACCAATTGGCATATTTTCGTCAGAGCAATTTTTTATCCCCTTATATTCTATGATCCTGAAATCTATAGATATGCATGCTTGTGAGGAAGATGTAATTATGCTATGTTATTAATTAACACAATCAAGGGTTGAACTTCTTTGTACCATTACTTTGTGTTAAAATGTGTAATTAGATAGCGTAAATTTATTTTATAGATAGATTAGTTGGTCGTTGGTGGTTAGAGGTTAAGAGCATTTATTACTCTATGTTGATGTACTCTTATAAATAGCATTCTGTAAATGATAGAAGTGAAATAATAAAGTAGTTGTTTCACCAAATTTGTCATGGTATCAAAGCCTATTTGAGAGCACATTTGGGCTCCGTTTGGCCTCCGATCAACTCCATTTTGCTCGGAATCTCCTCTCTTGTTTTAGTCATGTCTGACAAAAAAACACCGTCTAACAGTACTAGATCTTCCTAGTTTGGGGTTTCTCGGGAGTTGCCAAGTGTTCTGGTTGCTTATCGATTGACTGGAGCCAACTTTTTAGTGGTCTCAGTAGGTTCATGCCTTTTTTAAAAGGGTTGAGGAAAGCTTAGTCATTTACTTGGGACAAGTCCTAAGCCAGGAGAACCCAAGTTCGATGCTTGGGATGAAGTTCACTCAATGGTAATGTCTTGGCTGTGGCAATCTATGGCCCTTAAAGTTAGTCGCACATGTTTGTTTTTGTCCTTGGCTGAGGAGATTTGGGATACGATGCACTAGACTTACCGGAGGTGAAGGATGTTGCCCAAATTTATGAGATATGGACCAAGATTTCCAATATCAAATAGGGCAGTAGTAAATTTGTCATTGAATACTCTACCCTTATGAAGAGTTTGTGGCAAGAATTAGACCACTATTAGTGCATTACTGTGAAAGATCCTAATGATTGTAGCTACTTTAAACGCTTCATTGAGAAGCAAAAAATTTTTGAGTATCTTCTTGGGCTTAATTCAGAATTTGATTTTGTAAGAGTTCAAATTCTTGGTTGTGTTGGGAAGATGTTCCCTCATCTAGCAGAAGAAGGCAGTCGAGGAGTGATGATGGAAACTCCATCTATGGAAAGCTTTGCTTTGGTTTTAAGGAATGTTGCTTCTTATTCTGTGGAAAATGAGAAACGAGGGGACTCTTCCAAGAAAGAACCTATTCAATACTCTTATTGTAAGAAGCTGCGGCACACCAAGGGGAAGTGTTGGAAGCTATATGGTAAGCCTCCAAATATGAAAAAAGGGGCAAGCTCATGTGCCCACTGATTCTGCTAGGGAGAATTCTATTCAGATTGACCTTAAGGGGGAGATTGAGAAACTAAGATCTATGCTAGAGTCACTCGACAAGGCGACTACATTTGGTTCTTGTATAGGTATCTGTTCTTGGGGTTCTCAAGTATCTCCTTTCGGCCTTCATTTGTCTTATTTTCATTTGCATTTATTGCCTCAAAACAAGATTTTCTTCACTCTTGGATTGTGGATTTTGGAGCCTTAAACCATTTGACAAATTCCTCCAAAAATTTCGTATCTTATAGTCTATGTCCTAGTATTAGGAAAATCATGTGGGGTAACGGCTCCATAGCTACTATGGCTGGTCAAGGGAATGTTAGATTGAGTGATAGTCTTCTCCTAAAGAATGTCTTGCATGTTCCTAAACTGTGCACAAACCTTATTCTAATTGTTGTGTCCTATTCTCTTATCTCTCTTATCTTTTTCAAGAGTGAGAGACGAATTAGATGATTGGACTTGCTGAAGAAAAAGAGATGGACTTTAATATTTTGATGAGCCTAGTGAATGTAGTAGGATTCAGAGCTTGATGGCTTCCTCCTCTTCTCAATCAAAATGAGTCGAGTCTAGAAAAGATTAGATTTGGCTTTATCATCGTCGTTTGGGTCACCCTTCGTTTAATGTTTTGAGAACTATGTTTCCTTTCTTGTTTAAAGATGTACTTGTCGAGTCCTTTTCATTGTGATGTTTGCGATTTTGCAAAACATAAATGATCTTCATATCCTATGAGTAATAAAAGAACTTATGTTACTTTTAGCCTAATTCATAGTGATATTTGGGGTCCCTTTAGTGTCCCTAATGTTATCGGGTTTCGATGGTTTGTGTCCTTTATTGATGATTGCCTTGTGTAACATGGATTTATTTGCTAAAACAAAAATCTAATGTTAGTACTATTTTTCCTATTTTTATAACATGATTAAAACTCAATTTGGAGTTGGGATACAAAGGTTTAGGTCTGACAATGCAAAAGATTTTTTTAATCAATCATTGTCCATATTTTTTGATACACATGGAATTCTACATGAATCATCCTGTGTTAATACTTCCCAACAAAATGGGGTGGTTGAGAAAAAATAGTCATCTTCTTAATGTTACTAGAGCCTTATTGTTTCAAACTAATGTGCCTAAGCAATATTGGGGAGAAGCTATTTTAACTGCTACACACATGATTAACAGACTTCCAACCTTGGTCCTTGGTTCAAAAAGTCCTATTGATGTTCTTACTCAATTTTTCCCTAATTTTAATGTATCAAGTGGACTTATACTTAGAATATTCAGATGTGTGGTTTTTGTTCATTTGCATTCTCAACAAAAGACTAAGCTTGACCCTACTCAAAAAGGGTATAAGTGTTATCCTCCTTCCAGGAAGTTTTTGGTATCTGCTGATGTCACTTTTTTCGAATCTGTTTCTTATTTCAATACTCCTCTTGAAAGAGAGAGCCCTTTTAGTGAGGACCAGGTTCATGTTTCCCTTGTCAATGAACTTCTTAGTTCCTTACCTAGTGAGACCTTGGAAGCACCATCAACTCTTAAATCTACTCGTCCACCACAGGTTTTCACTCGGAAAAAAAAGAGAATATCTTAACTTACACAAGTCCAATCATCTGAAACGCGTCCTGCTCAAACTTCTGAACCTATGCATGAAAATTGTGAGGTAACTCCTGATAATCAAGATGTATCTAAAAATAATTCAAAACAGCTTGATTTGGATCTACCTATTGCTCTGAGAGAGGGGAGCCGTAGTTGTACCAAAAAATCCTTATACTCAATATCTTTGTTTCTTTTCTATGAGAAATTGTCTTGCAATCACAAAGTTTTCCTTACTAGTCTTCATCCCATCTCAATACTACATTCTGTATTTGAGGCATTGGCAGATGAGAATTGGGTTAAGGCAATGATGGTTGAGATGGACACACTTGAAAATGAGACATAGGATCTTGTTCCATTATTAGAGGGAAGGAAGCTTGGTGGGTGTAAGTGGCTTGTCACTCTTAAATGCAATTTTGATGGTTCTTTAGACAAGTACAAGGCTTGGCTTGTTGCTAAAGGATATACATAGACATATGGGCTTTTGCTCTTATTGCAAAAATGAATACTTTCTATATTTTATTATCTTTAGCAGCTCTCTATGACTCTGATGTGAAGAATGCATTCTTACATGGTGACTTAAAGGAAGAGATTTATGTGGAGATTCCTTCTGGGTTGGTTCTCATCTTCCTCTTGGTACTGTTTGCAAGCTAAAAAAGGCTTTGTACAGCTTGAAACAATCACTAGGGCATGGTTTGGCAGGTTTTCAAAGGCCATGGTTGGCATAGGGTTCAAACAAAGTCAAGACCATCACACTTTGTTCATCAAACATTCTTCTTCAGGGGGAGTAACAATTTTACTTGTTTATGTTGATGATATCATAGTAACGGGGAGTGATTTGGAAGGGATTCAGTCTTTGTGAAGTTTGTTGGTGAAAGAACTTCAAATGAAAGATTTAGGGAGGTTGAACTATTTCTCGGGCATTGAAGTGGTGCATTCTAAGCATGGCATCTTCATATCCCAACATAAATATATTCTTGACCTTCTCATTGAAATAGAAAAAATGGGGTGCAAACCTATGGACACTCCAATTGAACAGAATCATAGACTTTGTAAGGAAGGAAAATGTCCTGGAAAACTAAAGAAAAGTCATAAGCCTAGCAAACCTCCTTCTCCAGAGCCTTCTATCAATAAGGAATCCTATCTGATTTATCTAGCTCACACTAGGCCAGACATTGCCTATAATGTAAGCATGGTAAGTCAATTTGTGCATGATCCTAAAGAATCTCATCTACAAGCGGTTTATCGCATACTTGAGTATTTGAAGGGCACTTCGGGAAAAGGCATTCTATTCAAGAGAGGGAAAAAATTGACTCTTGAAGCACACATGGATGCAGATCATGGAGGGAATATGGATTCTAGAAGGTCTACATCAGGATATTGTACATTTCTTGGCTCAAATCTCATTACTTGGAGGAGTAAGAAGCAGGATGTAGTATCTAGATCTAGCGCTGAAGCTGAGTTTAGAGCTATGGCACTTGGAATTTGTGAGTTGTGGGTGAAGATAATTTTATCAGATTTGAGAATCAAATGGGAAGGTCCAATGAGACTTTATTGTGACAACAAGTCAGCTATCAACATTGCTCATAATCTTGTGCAGCATGATAGGACCAAGCATGCTGAAATTGATCGACACTTTATCAAAGAGAAGTTGGAAAGTGGTCTAATCTGTACTCTTTACATACTTTCTGGTGATCAATTAGCTGATATACTCACAAAAGGATTATCAAGTGAACATTTTCTTACATTAGCATCCAAGCTAGGAATGGATGACATCCACTCTCTAGCTTGAGGGGGAGTGTTAAAATTTGTAATTAAATTGTGTAAATTTATTTTATAGATAGATTAGTTGGTAGTTGGTGATTAGAGGTTAAGAGCATTTATTACTATGTTGATGTACTCTTATAAATAGCATTCTGTAAATGACAGAAGCGAAATAATAAAGAGTAGCTTTTCACCAAATTTGTCACTTTGTTATAGTAATCAATCTGGAATTTTGTGCTAAAAAAGGTTGCGAGTGTTCTCATAGCTTGTTGCTTTTAGCTTTTCCTCTAATCCATGCAATGTTTCATTTGCAGTTAGTAATTAATTTGCTCAAAATCCTATGTACCAATGCTGCATGGCAAAGACGTAAACTAGGGAAAATGTTACAAGACTGGCGCGTCATCTATGTTCAGGTGCATCCTCTCCTTATTTTCAGATTAAAAAAAAAATGTGGCTTTTGTAATGAATGTCCCTTGTTTTCTGCATGGTGTAATACCTGCTTCAATATGTTTTATTTTTCAAAGGTTTTGTAAATGGATATAGTTCATGAAAAAGTGAACAAAACTTTTCTGCACCTAATTACTTCAACAATTCTAATCGATTAAGAAATTAATTTGGCTGTTTTTTCTTTTTTGAAAAAAATCATGAATGCTTTGTTCCTTTTCTTACAGATAATGGATTGGAAATATAATTTGTTCTTTTTAATTGGCCATATCTGTTTCCTAGCTGACACATGAAGAAAAGAAATGCATATAAAGATTTCATATTTTGATACATCTTCCTATTACCTTCCGTATTTAAAATGCATTTCTGTATGACTTTGAGAACATCCATTTAAGCATATCTAATCTTATATACCTCTTATACAGCTGGAGCTCGCTTTTAAAAAGGAGTTTGGAGAAGCCTCAAACCCTTACAATGATGAGGTGTGTTTCTTTACTGAGTGACAAGAACTTTCTTAGGTTTACCAAAATGCCTACGTGGAAGTGATGGCTGTAAGAAAAAATAAGTATTGATTGTTTGAGAAGTTCTAACAAATTCACATGATCTTTTAGTACTGTTTGTTGACTACTAGACACTAATTTATTCAGTTGCCAATTTATAGCATTGCTCTGCTTTTGCAGTCATGCTTCAAAATATTCCAACAGATCCTCATGTGGGTTGAAGAGCAAACTTATTGGATAGCTTATCGTTTTCTTATTTTGGGTTTTGAATTGGAACTTTACTCCGTACATGATTATTGCATGGTATACTGGTACATATATACAATTTTGATCAAGCTTGCAGAGAAGACGCATCTCAGAATCGTAATGAATAGTGGCACTGGTATGTACTTCATCGAATTATCAAAGTACACCGCATATTTGTTAAAACAGGTTTGCTTACAAGTTGAAATCTATAGCAGTGTATAACTTAGTATCCTTGTAATTGTGTACACAAAAATAAGAACTAACGAATTCCCTCTGGGCTCTGACTTAATTATGCTGTTTTGCTTTGTCTTGATCAGCCAAAAAGAAAGCAAAGAAGAAAAAGGATTCTTTTAAGGATGTAGGAAGAGATTTTCAGATGCCAGGAGCTGTCTTGTTTCTTCAGAGCCAAATATATCTAGCTGAAGGATTATGCATGGTAATGTCATTTTTGGGTTGTCAACAATGAAACCTATACTGGGTGTCAGTGGCTATGATATTTCCAAAAAAAGGTTATAAATTTTTAAATTAAGTTGTTATACTGGGACTCAGGGTTTCTAGCTCTGCCACTACTGTTTTTTTTTTTTGTAAGTCATTAATTCGTTTCACGATCATATGGGACAGCTTCTGGTCTGTTAACCTCATGAAGAGATATTTTGACAGTATGAACCCAACCCCCAAAACAAAAAAAAAAAATTCCCAATTTTTTTTTTTGCTTCAGCTTTGTATATATAGATATATATATATATATATATATTTTTGGTTTATTTTCTAGATGTTTGCCGCCTTGAAGAATGAGCACATTATAAGAGCCCCGCAGAGCCCTTTCAATACAGAGCATGAGGTAAAGGTTTTCCCTTCTTACATTGGGAGTGTTCATTTGTTTAAACAACCCTAGTTTAAACATTATCAAGCCTTTTGAGACTGGTACAAAATCATAGCCTGTATATCTGAAGTCAATTTATTAATTCATTCTTCTCAAGATTACCATGATTTTATGAGTAATTAGCAGAAATGACCTATTGCATTTAGTTGATTTTCTTTGCTGTCGAATCATTGTGTATGAAGTGGCTAAAAGATATGTTGACTCAAGTTAGTTCCACATCTATTGTGTATATTGTGGTTTTAGTTAGCCTAAGGAAACCAACTCAATTCTGTATTGAAAAACCAAACAAATGTTAGCAAAAACTAGTCCAGTTGGTAGAATGCTGGACAACATCCCACAAGGATGTGCATTCAAATCCCATTGCTTTTGTAAGAACCTTATTAGTGAGTAATTTGTAAGTACTTTTTTAAACACTTTGAGCCATGAGACTTGTTCTGACTTTGGCAAGCTTCTAGGACCAACTCACATAAATTTTATTTGTTCAAGAAAAATAAATGAAGCGATTACTTTTATGTTAATGAGGGGTGGAAATTCATTTATTTTTCCTTAACAGTGGTTGTGGTTGTACTTTTTATCGGGTCTAGGTGCGCAAGTTCAATCAAACCCAACATGTTTGTTGACCCTCAAAAGAAAATAGGGAAAAAGAAAAAGAAAACCAACTGTGTTTACGTGGGGGCTAAACTCTTGGAAATGATAGACAGTCATGGCTTATGTCTCAAATTATATGTCTTCTACAACCTAATTCATTTGTTCATCCTTTTGTCCAGATATTCATTCAGCAATTTGAGCTGCTACGCAAAGCTTGTCTCCCTGATCACATCTCTTACAGATCCTTTAAGGAATCAACAACGCATGCCAATTTCTCCGTGAGTATTCATACATGCTCAACCATCATTTTGATGTTTAAGCCCCCATAGGTAAGATGCTTAACATTTATAATAATCAATTTTCCTTTCCAGAGCCTAGTCATGTGTGATTACTTCAAGGAAGCCCAGAAAATTGCGAAAGATGCCAAGAGTTGTTTTGCCAATGACCCCGACAAGATGAGTGAGCTGCGTCGAGTAGAACAAGTAGCAGAGCATAATAGTGTCGCTTTAAACCTCATTTGCAGGGTAGGAGCCATTGATCCATCACTCGAGGTTTCTTTTGAGTTCAATCACCATCCATTTTTTGCTACAGCTATTGTGAAGAGATCTTGATGAACGAGAGAGTGGGAGAGAGATGCCACCAATTTTGAAATACATTACTGAGTGTTAGGAGCCAGTGAGTTTTAATGTTCATTTTAGCTCTTGTATCAGTAATGTTCTTTCGATCAAATTTTGTGGTTCACTTATGATATTGAAATTGTAATATTTTTTTGATGGAGAAATAAATAAATTAGTTTTATAGACTTTCTACTCGGTCCCTACTTCCTTTGCTGCACTGGAAAAGGAGTAACTTTTCGATGCCTTTTCACAAAATTGGATTGTCCATGTTCACAAGAGTGATGAGAGACGTGATGTATTTGTTTTTCTCGAGTGACGAAAAGATATTGTCACGCCTCAAAATAAATGTTAATCGGTACAGGATTTGAATCATATAACACATCTCTATAAACCTCTAACTTTAAATTCTTCTCCTTTTTAAAATATTAAATTTATATTAAAATTTTAATATTTTTGATATTGGTCATTAAAATAAAGTTTAAAAAAAATTGTGTAAAAATATCAAAAAAACTTTACTTGTAAATAAGATCATCCAAAACTCTACGATATAAAAATATTCATAGAATACCATATTAATTAGGAATTTAGCTTTTTTAATGAACAAACAGCATATATACCAAAATAGAAACTGTAAATATAGCATATATGAAGCACTTAATCAGACTTCTCCAAAAATAATATACATAAGCATTTATAGTTACATAAAAAGAGAAATTTCAATCAGTTCTTCACCCAGCACATCTAAGAGTTCTCATGATTCAACAAGAGAATCGATGTCAACTAAGTTATCCAAGACAAAAAATAATTTTTCAGTTAATAACGTCCCAACAATAAACAACAGAACATAAATAAAATAAAAATTTTAAAATAATTATGTACGTTAAAGAGACAATAATTTTTGTAAAAGTTTAATAAATTTCATAATAAAACGACTCTATAAAATTTTAAATAAAGATCTCAAATCATTAAACTATCATAGTAAATATTAATATTACTTGATTTTAAGAAAGCACACAAATGAAATAAAAATAAATTTCTTTATAAACAAATTACTAAATAAAAAACCAATGGAACATAAATCATCAAATAATTGAATTCATAATTATAGAGACTTATTAGAATAATTAACAAATGTAGACACACAATCCACGAGGGTAACTAAACAAACGCAGCTTATGCTATGAAAGCAAATGTGAACACACCGTCTACGAGGGTAAGTTACCAAACACGGCCGAAGTCACAAAACAAACGTAGACACACAGTCCACGAGGGTAATGCTAACCAAACGCAACCTGAAACTATGAAACAAACATGAGTACGATGCTTATGAATAACCATTCCTCCATCCACATGTGTTAGCCATCACACGGGACTAACACCTCCTATAAATACCCTGCTAGCTAGGTGTACCATGACGCGCCAAAGGCTAACAGAATTGCCGTTAGCAATCAATATTCTGTATAAAGTTCCTTTGAAATTCATTTTCAAACATGTGAGAAAATCATCACTCGCAAAATATAATTTCTCTTTTCAATATCAAACTCACATAAACCATGTAAAACATCAATCTTTCTAAATATGAAAATCTATAATTAATGTTTCATAAATTGTTCACTAATTTTCATAGTTGGCTATATCAAATAACATACTACTAAAATTTGTAAAAATATTTCTGTCAATCCAAAAAGTATAAGTAATGATATTAAGAAGTAAAGCAATTTAATTAACAAAAGGAGCTAATGCAAGAGAAATATATAATATCTATAAATTGTTAAAACAATTTTTAATAAAGTTTTTTTTTAAAATATAAATTGATTGGAACGTTATCCACTTACCTGATAATTTTTCAAATAAATAACTTACTTCTAACTGATCCTCTTCTAGTAATGCTTGCTCTTTAAATCCTAGTGTCCAAAAAATACCATTGTTATTTTCTTTTGTAGATCTTATTATTATCATCATCAATCTAAAATAATTCAAAAAGTAACACAGCTCTTAACTTTCAACATTTTTTAAACATTTCATAAATATTCTAATGACTAATATCTTAATAACAAATTGGCTTTTGAATTACGAATTCATAATATTATTTTCAAACTACTCTATTTCTAATTTCAACTTTTTTTTATAAAGAATAATTCCCTTCCATAATAATTTAATTATCAATAATACAATTATCACATCTAGTCCCCATCATTCACCAATATTCATCCTTTTAAACATTTTGTCAAACATTTTATAGACATTAATTTTTAAATTTTAATAGTAAATTCTTACTTCAAACACCATCCCATAATTTATCTAACAATTCTTCAGCATCAATATAAAATTTAATCTGACATCTCAAGTTTATTTCTTCAACAAAATCAATATAAATTTAGTTGTACTCCAAGTACAAACAACATACAAAGATTTTTGCTTGGTTCAGAAACCTACTCCCTTTCTATAATCACGCACAGCAGTAACCTCACACACCAAGTAATATTGTCTCAACTAATTACACACACACACACACAGCTAGCCAAAAAAAAAAAAAATCGAAGCTCCTCACCTGGAACCAGCTTGATCGAGCAGAGAAGGAGATGATCCTAGGCGAACGAACAAGGAGGAGGAAGGAAGAAGAATCTGCAACAGCATGAACGAGAGAGGAGCGAAGATGTTTGCAGCGAGAAACAGGGGATGATGAACAAAGAACTGAGGGAAATGAACAGCTCCTGCTTCCTCGAACGCATGCGCAGATGAACGAAAGAAATGGAAAGTTTGTACCTCACTCACCAATACATACGTATGCAAAGAATCAAACGAGAGAGAGGACAAAATCAAGCTTCCATGGCTAACCATGAGCACTGCCACAACGCACACGAACAGAGGAGGAAGGGGAGCACAGTCGTCAGTGATAACGGTGGAGGAAGGAGAAGATGCTATTGCACGAAGGAAGAGGGAGAGGAACGAACTCTACTCACAGCATCCAGACGACGCCAACGAGAAAGAGAAAACAAGGAATCAACAATGAAGCTTGAACAGAGATAGAGTAGGTAGATCTTGAGTGAAATCTTTACAGCGGCGAACTCACGGTGAACTCCACACCCATGCCGGTATCAATTGAAACGGAGGAGGCGAGAAGACGGTGGAGGTTTGATCAGAAGGTTCCCTCTCTCTCTCACTGGATTCTTGAAGATTCGAAAATGGAAAAAAATGAAAAAAATAGCTGGGTGTGCGTGTGATTTATGTCTGACTCTGTTTCTGTTTCTCTTTTTGTTTTTTTGTTTTTTGTTTTTTTTTTTGAGGGCATAACGGTGATATCACACAGATCAGACAAAATAAACAAAAGCAAGAAAAAAAAAAAAATGAAGACCCCCTTTATACACCGTAAGGTTTCGAACAGGGGACCTAAAATGAAACATAATTACTAGTTACCACTGAACTCCTATATTTTGATAAATTTAAGCCAAAAATAATACAAATACCTTAAATTATTTAATTATAGATTTTTATTCACATTATTTTCCTGAATCATTACAGATATCATGAATGGGGAGAATTGACCGCACAAGTGACATATTTACCAATCGGCCCAACACAATCTGAATGACGGAATCCCATTGCAGAATTTTGGCTTTGAATGAAAAAAAATTCAATGACCAAAAATATCATTGAGTATGTTGTAGTTAACCTATGAATAACTTCTTAAGGAGACTTATTAATTTCTTAACTTGTTCGCTGTTTTTCATTATTTTTTAACTAGTAACTTGTTAACTCAACCACATTACTCATTAAAAGATTTACTTTATTCGTTAATTTCTGTGTCACTTGTTACGTCTTATACATTATAACTTAGTGATTAATCTTTAAAAAGATTTGTTAATTCTTTAACTTGTCAATTCCTTTATCTTACTTACAAATTCATAACTTGTGAAGTCAATGCGAGTTAAATCCCTCATTTGTTAAGCTGATTGTCATCATAACTTGTAAAATCAACTATATTGCTTGTTAAAAGTTTTACTTTACCTATAAACTTCCCTATGTTATTTGTTACGTCCAATACATTGTAGTTGATATCATTATTAATCTTTAATAAGATTTGTTAATTTCTTAATTTTACTTGTCCAGTTGTCCATTCCCTTTCATTATTTTAACTCCATAATGGACAAGTAAATTTAGCAAGTACTGCAAGGGAATGGACATTAAGGAATTAATAAGTCTTCTTAAGGAGTGGTTCACAAGTTAGCTGCAATGTAGTGAAAGAAAGATATTTTGGTCATTTTATTTTAGAATTTAATTTCACCATGTGTCTGGTTCTTAGATAAAATTCTCCCTAATGAATGTCATGCTAACCAGAATTTCACATTTAGTTTTATGGTGTGTTGCTTATTCTTTGAATACACACATATTGATAAATTCATATTTGATTTGGAATTTTCACCATTTAATACGATTATCACAAATAATGCTCAGTCTAAGTCCAGGTGATTTCTTTCTTTCTTTTTACTTTTTAAATGTAAGACTAACACTAAACAATTGTTATGTTCTAAGTATATCTAACTATTAACCGCACTAATCTCTAACAATATTCTTTCCCTAAAAATAGTGTTGTCTTAAAAAATGAATACAAATTCTGGCAAAAAAAAAAATAAATATAATATATTATTTTTAAGGGTAAATGAGCAAAATTATCTTTTGAACTTTAGATATAGTAGCACCATAGACTCTTAACTTATTTTTTCTACAAATTATTCTCTTAATTTATGAAAATGGTGCAATCTGGCCTCTCTTGTTTATAAAAGATTACTGTGACTGTTAGTTGATCATAAAATGACTATAAATGTGAAGTGTGAAATTGAGTTGTTTGTATGCCATGATTATGTGTTAAAAAATGTAGTTGCCAAATGAATGAAATGATTGTGTTGTTGTGTTAGCTTTGAATGTAATGAATGAGAAAAGTAGAGAACAAGCGAATGTAATATGAGATTGAGGATAGAAGTGACGTATGAAAGGTGAAAAATGATTATAATGCTCACATGTGATGGCTAGATGTATGAATCAAATAAACTTGTATTTGTATATATGAATGTGTGAAATGTGTGAGGATAATTTATAGCATGACCATTTTGGTGAGAGTTCGCTTAGGCAAGTGGTGTAAAACCTCCAAAATAATCCACAACATGACAAGTAAAGTTACTCTTATTAAACCA